AAAATGCGTCAACATGAATATGGTATAAAAGCCAAACGGCTGCAGTACAACGAGTTTCATCCGTCCTCATCTGGTGAGATCGGTGAACGAATAACTTCTTCAGGCACTTTCATACGAAATGAAAGTTTCATCAACAATGTTATCTCAGGAGATTCATCGAAATCCAGTTTCTCTTCGAATAGACGCATTCAAGTAAAATATAATGATTAATATGAAAGAGAACTGACAAAATAATTTAATTTAGATCTATTTGTGTATATATTTTTCCATTTTTTTGTTACAAATATACATAAGACGTAAAATAGATTCGGACACTCTTTTTAACTTATTATGAGATGTATTCACCCTATTTCGTTTACGCTGATAAGAGGACTGGTAATTCAATTTTCCCATAATCAAATGAGTAGACCTTACATCTTCATTGGATTTCACGTAGCCCCGCCTTCCCAAAAGCGCTTAAACCAAATATAAAGTGAATACATTTCATGAATACGATCCACTGACCGTCTCATAAGGTGGCTTATGAACTAAAAAATAGGTATTTTAACCGATTGTTTCATCGACAATACCCCTACAGAATGTGATGTGGTGAATTGTATGGCTTTCCTTGAAATTCACATCTGCTGCCTAACCTAAATGCATTCGTGGCGATGTGGCGTTGTGGTTAACTTGTCCAGATTATACGCTGCACTGTCGTGGTCGAGTACCGCTGGGGATGGTGAGGGAGGTAGAAACTGCGGTACACTCCAGCCTTGATGAGAATATTTTGTGTGATAGCGAGGCAGTGTGAAATTCTATGGAAACGTGAGATATATGCTTCCGACTGAGGAAAAAGTCAAGTACCAGTTTCCTTGTTACTTTAATCGAAATAGTATGAATCTATCTCATATAAATATAAATTGATATTCTCAAAAATCCGTTTATAAATGAAAAAAAATCTTGACTTTGTGTTTGTTAATCTGAGACTGTCAATAATGAGTTCCAACTTGTATGCTTAAAAAGAGATCAACCTGATTTCACGCAAAAATAGAGAAAGCGTGTCTTGTCAATTAAGCGAAATGACTGCAGAAAATCAAAAATCGTACTTCTTCTGCCGTTGAGAAGTGCTAACAATTTTCTGTAAGCTTCACTTTCGTAAGAAATGAAAGTCGCCACAACAACTCCTCCAAACCCCGTTAGTCATCGTATCCACAAAATGTTTGCTCTTCTTCTACTCGAGCTGGAACAAAGTGTTCCGGTGACCAGCGCCGAAGGCAGCGTTCCCATTCAGACGCCGGTACCGGCCGAACGACTCGTCTGGAGTAGCAAGTCGATCGCGCTGAAAGCGCACACGGCGACCTCGAAACTGGGCCAATCAGAGGCCGGCTCTCGTTTGCCCAAGGTTTGGCCCATCAGGCCCAGCCAATCAGCGCAGCCGTTGCCGTTGCCGTCGCTGTCGCCGTCGCCGTCCGGCTCGGCGTCGCCGTCGGCATCTGCCTCGGCGTCGGCTTCGAGGTCTCCGTCGCCGTGTCCCTCGCCACCGCCGCTGGTCACGCGAATAGACAAACCGTCGGCATTGACGACGACGCTGTCGGCCGGCCAAGGCCGTGGCGACAGAGCTTTTCTGGACGAGGCGCGTCGCATGGAGGCGCTGCTCTGTCCGTCTCGACCGCGTCCCAACGAACGAGCCCATTCGCCCATCGGGCCGGTCAGAGACCGCCAGAACGACGACATGGCAACGCGTCGCTTCCGTTCGGCCACTCGGCAACGAACTCG